CATTAATCATCACTCTCTGAGTATGATTCTATAGCCACTTGTGTATCCCCCTGACACTTAATCAATCAAGCCCACACCTAGTTATCTTACTAATCTGGAGATCATGGGGCACTTTGTCAAAAAGCTTTGCTGAAGTCAAGAAAAGTTTGAAAAAACTAGTTTATACTGAATATGCCTAAGTTTCCAATTTTGTTTGACTGGAATCTCTAGCTGATTAAATATATCATTTAGGTATATCTTTTACAGGCTCAGGTAATAAAAAATTTGTGACATTTCTTGCAAGCACCACACATTTTGCCATACAAGGCCACTGTGAGCATTTATTGACCCATTGGATACTTACTGCAATTTCTCTTCCTCCAAACGATACTTTAGAGTCTGGAAAAACAGGTACTTAATTTTGCACAGTCTCCAAAGAGGTAGTTGTGGTACTGTTTCAGCATGCATATTTCAAAAAGAATCGTGTAACCTTAAAGACAGAAAAGCTTATTTCCATGTGAACTTTTGTGGATTATAGTCTGTGGTTGGCTGAGGGGAGAGGCAGGGCAGTGCCAATGGGATTATGTCTGCGATTAGCACAGTATCCCCGCTGTCTGATGCACACACTGCAAGGAGCCCAGTGAGTGGGCAGGGCTGGTTCTGGGGGGGGGGGCTGACACTTACATATGAATAAGATAATAATAACTGTATGCTGTCAAGCCAAATACAACTTATGGTGATCATTTCCAGGATTTTCTGCGTATAGCGTATTCAGATGTGGTTTGCTGCTCCCTTTTTCTGGGGAGTACAGTGGTGTCTCGCATTACGAGCGCTCTGTTTTACGACGAAATTGCTTTACGTTGAAGGTTTTGCGATCGCAAAACAATGTTTCCTATGGGGGAATTTCACGTTGCAATGATCAGTTCCCTGCTTTGGGAACCGATTCTTGCAAAGCAATGATTTTTGGCCAGCTGATTGGCGGTGTCAAAATAGCTGCCGGGTAAAAAACATGGCTCCCCACTCTTTTCTGGGACGGATTCCTCGTTTGGAGGATCTTCGTTGGACGGTGAGTTTCAAGCCCCTAGGAATGCATTAATTGGGTTTTAATGAGTTTTTATGGGCTTTTAAATTTCGCATTGACATTTTCATTCTACAGCGATTTCGCTGGAATGAATTAACGTTGTCATGTGAGGCACCACTGTATATTGGACTATGCAGCTTGCCCAAGGCTCCACAGGCTCTTCTCTTGGAAGATACAGCCAGGAACTGAACTCCAAACCTCAGACCATAACCTATCTAAGGACACACCTGCCAAAAGAACACGTTATACCAATTTGGCTGTTTGTTTAGATAATTTCATAATTTCACAGTCACAACATCAATTCATTTACCCCAACAATGTTTATTTCACCCTTGCCAGGAAGGCTTTTCAAATTGTATCAATGATGTATCACTTCATTCATTATCATTTCAGTATGTAGGGACACTGCTGTAAATTTATTTCTTTTGTGAAGGGGTCAGGTTTCTAGGTGCTATGGCCACTGCATAGCCACTACACTTGTTCCCTTAAAAACAATTTTTAAAGAGATATTGATAAATTGCTAGTGGCCACCACCACTGTGGCAAGAAAACCAACATGAATTCATTGCTCAGAAGGAGAAAGCCTTCTCTCTCTCCCTTGTAGGTGGAAAGAGGGCTTGAGATTTCCTGCTCTGAATTGTAAAGGAACATTGCATTTTTAAAAATCCTGCTCTTCACAATACTTTGCAAGTCTTTTAAAACCACTTCCTCCTTTCAACACGGTGCAAAAAGGAAAAGAAAAATGAAAGCCAAGAACTGAGAGTGAGAAATATGCACGGAATTAAGCAAAAGGTGATGAGTGAGTAAAGGAGGGAAGGGAAAGGGGGAGGAGAAAAAATGTATTGGTACAACAGAAGTATAAAAAAAATGGTATAACTGTAGTTCTTATCTCACATTTGATTGAACCCTCAGGGAACTATCCAGACTATTAACAAATTTGGTACCCCAAATGGCACAGAAGTCATTTCTTGCTTGAGTAAATCAATCTTTAAATTCATCTAATTTCTTTTCTAATTTATTCAGTACTCAGTAAATTTACAAATAATTCATCTGTTACATTGTTATAAACTACATGGAAAGTACTGCTACAGGCAATCCATTACTGCCTGCATTGGTTCATACTTGCTCTTTTTCTCAAAGCAAGTGGAGGTCCAAGAGGAATTAATACAGGGCTATCAGCATTTATTTAGAATATTTCTGTTAAACAGCTTAAAATAAATCTTCATATTTGAAAAAATTCTTTAAAAATATAGTAAGTGTCAAAGTAAATAAAAATGAAAGTGAGCAGATTGAAAAGGCTACACTCTATGGAAGAAACAATATAAAAACTTAACACTTAGTATTTTCTGTTTGATGAAATTCCCAACAAACATTTTAAGAATCAGGATTTAAGTATTCAGAGGAGGAAGGAACCTCCTGCCATACTTTTTTTCACAAAGAAAAATAATGTCTTCATTTATGTTAATAATTGTATAATCATAAAAACCTTTAATCTCACTTTGAGATCTTTTGCTAAAGAAAGGACTATAAGTAATTCAAAATGATTTTGGTTCTTTAGCAAGATTTTGTTTGTTTATAGCAGTAGAAACAGCACTCTTCTTCTTCTTCTTCTTCTTCTGTTGCTGCTGCTGCTGCTGCGGCTGAATTTCCCCCAACAAGGGACCCAAAGTGGCTCACAACATTAACATTCACACAATTAAAAACACAATAATTTATATATTAAAAGACAAATTAAACAATATATGGTTAAAATTAAATTAAGATTAAAACATGAAAACATGGAAAAGATTGAAATTATCTGTTAAAACAGGACTCAGTTGTAATTATTAAAAGCCTGTCTGAAGAGATGGGTCTTTAGCATTTTTTGGAAGGATAACAGGGAAAGGGCCATCCTGATCTCCCAAGGAAGAGCATTCCATAGCCTGAGAGCTGCCACAGAGAAGGCCCTCTCCCATTTCCCCATCAGCTGTGTTTGTGCTGCCAATGGGACTGAGAGGAGGGCCTCCTCTGCTGATCTTAATCGCCAAGAAGGCACATATAGGGAGAAACGGTCCTTCAGGTAGCCTGGACCCAAACTCTAGAGGGCTTTATAGGTAACGACCAGCACTTTGAATTGGGCCCGGAAATGGACTGTTAGCCAGTGCAGTTCTTCTAACAGGTGCATTATATGCTCCCTGTAGCTGGCCCGTCAGTAATCTGGCTGCACAATTTTGCACCAGCTAAACTTTCCAAACTATCTTCAAAGGCAGCCCCACACAGAACGAATTACAGTAATCCAAACGGGATGTAACTAAGGCATGTGTCACTGCAGCCAAATCCAGCATCTCAGGGAACAGGTGCAGCTGGTGCACCAGCTTTAGCTGTGCAAATGCACTCCTGGCCGCTGCCGAGACCTGGGCATCCAAGCTTAGGGATGAATCCAAGCATACACCGAAGCTGCGGACCTGAGTTTTCAGGGGAAGTGTAACCCCATCCAGCACAGGTAGTATCCCTATTCCCTCATCTGCCTTCTGACTAACCAGGAGCACCTTTCTCTTATCTGGATTAAGTTTCAGGTTTTTTGTCCTCATCCAGCCAATTACTGGTTTAGAGTCAAACACTGGTTTAGAGTCACGACACCTTTTCTGGAAATAGGTGGAAAGGATAGAGTTGGGTGTCATCTGCATACTGGTGACACCAAATCCCCAAACTCCAGACCTCTCCTAGCAGTTTCATGTAGATGTTAAAAAGCATGAGTGACAAAGCAGAACCCTGATGAACGGCACAGGGCATTGAGTAGGAGTTACTGAACACCACCTTCTGAGATCTCCACTCCAGGAAGGACTGGAGCTACTCTAAAACAGTGCCTCTGAGTCCCATCCCAGAGATGGCACAGAAGGACACCATGGTTGATGGTATTGAAAGCTGCAGAGAGGTCTAGCAGAATGAACAGGAACACACTCCCCTTGTCCAGTTCCCGGTGTAGATGACCAAAAGCTGTCTCTGTCCCATAGCCAGGCCTGAAGCTAGATTGAAATGGGTCTAGATAATCCGCTTCCTCCAGGAATCTCTGGAACTGAGAAACCACCAGACACTCTAGTACTTTGCCCAGGAATGGGATGTTTGAGACTGGCCAGTAGTCATCCAGTACACTGGGATCCAGGGAGGGCTTCTTCAATAGTGGTATTATTACTGCCTCCTTAAAGCAAGCAGGGATCCTACCCCGCTGCAAGGAGGTATTTACCAATCCTGGTACCCAATTGGCCATTTCTCCTCTGGTTGCTGTGATGAGCCAGGCAAGGGTCCAGCACACATGTGGTGGCATTCACCTCTCCAAGAATCCTTTAGACATCATCAGGCTGCACCAACTGAAATGTATCCATTAAAACAGGACAAGCTGCAGCCATAGTTACATCCACACCTTTATTTGGTCTCCACAACTTTATTTCAAGTCTCACATTTAACCCTATATAATTGCTCAATTTTGTATTTATGCCCTCAAGTATGCATGCACACACATGCGCGCACACAGACATGTGTCTAAACAGTCACACTTCTTTACTGAAATATTATTCAGAATAATATTAATGCAAAGCATATTTTTTCTAAATGTATAGTCCTAATATTTGGATTTGGCTAGGAAAAAACCCTGCTGGCTAGGTTTTAATGTATGGCTCAATGCTGTAACAATAAAGTATGTGTGTATGTAAGTTTTGATGTATGAATAGGTAGAAAACATATGTCTTGATGCAGTACAGTAATGTTCACTGTTAAAACAGCATTCCCAACCCTTATGCCCATGCAAAGATATCATGGCTGCCTAAGGGAGATCAATACAAAAAAGGGGAGAGGGTTCACTGCTCACTGAATTGTACACATTGAGCTTCTAGGAGAGTTAATTGTTCTTCTCATGGGCTCCTGGTTATAGTTTACAATATCCACCTTCACTACACTCTGTGAAAAAGAAAGAGAGATATTAGAGATAATTGCAGGAGAATCTGAAGCAAACTCTGTTCATTGTTCTCTAAAGTTCGATGGTAGAAAACAGAATAAAAGTACATAGGAACATTTTATGTGCCCAGAGGTCTAAAAGGTCAAGTACTTGTATCTAACATGATTTATTCCTCGAAGGCCACAAAATAGATTCAAAGACTATTGTTATGTTGGAACAGCAATGCTTGCTTTGTCAAATTCTCAGAAAACCACACCTTTCTTTACACTTCAGAAAATGACATTGTAGAAGATCTTGTAGACAGTACATCATTCGAAGATACAAAACACTATAAAATTATTTTCTCTAAATACTGTGGCAGAAGCAGATGACAACAGTCTGTTTGAGCACAGCTAAATACAAGTGACCATTGCCATCTCCATTTAGAAGGTTCCCTTCTAAAAGTGAAAGGGAACTATCTGTGACCTAGCTCATACATGATTATGCAAGCATTAAAAGATGTGGACTTGTCTCAGGATGCATCAGCAAAAATGCTTTGCACAGAATGTAATGATTCCCTTCCCCTCAATAAGCTACACCAGTGGATTACTGTCATTTGAACATTTTGCTCTAGCTTTAAAACAAACAAGCTTTTCATAAGAAGATTGTTTTTTCAGCCCCTCGTTCCAAAACTGTCTCCCTGTGAAAGCTATCTATGACACTATAGAATACCAAAGGGGCTTCCAATCTACTACAGAGATGCTATAGCAGAAATACTATGTGTTCATCCAACCTGTGTCCTACTGAAATGAAGTATTTGGTGTTAATGACCCTAACTCTTACAGGATTAGAGTACTGTATTAGAATTGCATTTCCTTGCAAGTCTACACATGTAAATAGCATACAGTTTCATCACTATATTTTTGAAAGCACTAAATTATTCCACTATACTACCTGAACTACTGCACTGAGCAGACTTTACTCTGGCAATTGGCAGTCCTGTTTTGTTGATTATCTTCTTCAGGATATTTCACTAGTTCTGCCCTGACAACATGCTGCAGTCATGTGTCAAACAGAAGGCATAGTAAGCAGATGAGTTTTGAGGTGGGATGAGGGTGGGACAAAGAAGAAAAAGAAAAGCATCAACTATTAGAAAAAAAGAAACAAAGAACAAAAATGAACAGGAACAGTAAATAAAAACAATCACATATTGGACAGAATGCAGAGCAATTTGCATATACATTTAGCAGCTTTGTGTGCTGTTATCACTGGATCAGCGAACAACTTTTTCTACTGATGCAACGCTTTCCAGGGGCAATTTGTCATGACCTAATTCAACAGGAGGCATGGCTGAAATTCATGGTGAATGAGGCCAGAGCAAAATATAAATGAGCCCACACATTTTACTGTGTCCACCATCCTCTTTTCTCTCCACTTCCCTATCTGAGGGCCTGTAGCCCTAAGGCAAGTTGTCCCTTGTTTAGAACATAGAAAATGTATCCAAAGTGACCTTATCTCTCAAAGACATGATGCTATATGTTAAAGTGGTAGTAAAATTTCCAAATGCTGCAAAAAAAATAAAAATGACAACTCTCAGGTAATATTAATTCACATTATCTATATCTATATATATTTCAGCTAAAGTAACAATACTAAGGAATATCACCTGAGATTGTTCCATTTCAGCTTTGTTTAATTTGACATCAAGTAGATCAGCTGCAGTTCTTTGAAAACACAGGAAGACCTATTTTTTAAAAAAAGGAAAAGTATAAATGAGTAGGTTATTTCAAAAGTTACTTTAAATAAAAGAGTTTTAAAAAACTAAATTCAGAACTATAACAGAGGTGACGTCAAAACATTGTTTTCCATTTCCACTGCTTTCCTTGACCAACCTTTGCCAACTGCCCTAGCCACCATTCAAATATAATCCTAAATTTAAAAATTAATAGGTCACACTGCACTGCTTTATGGAATTTTCTACTCAAAAATTACAAAAAGTCTCAAATGCAGAAATATGTGTCAAGTAAGAGAGTTGATGTGAGCTTCTTTAAATATTAGCATCAGAAACACTTGGTTTGAAATTGAACTAAAAAGAACACCAAGTATAAACTTCAAGTAATCTCCAAGCAACAACAAATGACAGATCATTTTGTTGTTACTTTAAGGTGGAATAAAAATTACACAGAAACAAATTTCAATGAATGATTGATTGAAAATGGTAACAAAAGACATATTATAAAATTTGAAATTATAATAAAAATCAAGTTAGAAATCAAAGATCAAATATCCTTTTTTTAAAAATAAAGATTTAAGATGTGCAACTATAACTTCTTCTGTATTCCTTTTTTCTTTTGAAATTCTTTTATTTCTAATCAATCATTTCTTTTTCTATTTTAGCTTCTTCCCTCATTTTTAAAAAGCATTTTATAATGTTTAATTTTCTCTGAAGTTTCTTCTTTCTTCAGAGTTTCTTTTTGTTGCTTATGGTACTCCGAGTTGTATGAGTGAGCACACCTGATCAACTGCTGCAGCTTCCTGTCATCTACAACAGATTCAGGTCCTCCAGAATTCAAGATAGTACCATAAACCTGATGTTCACAGATAACAGTTTATGAACATGCATGTTCTCCATTTTGGTGTTGTTATGTCCCATCATATTGCCTCTAACTCATGAAGACAAATGTCCTCAACAGCTGGGATCAACTCTTGTAAACTCAAGGCTGTGGCTTCCTTTAAGGCAGTGGTCAGGGAACAGGGGTAAATTACCCCAAATGGGGTAAAAATGAAAATCCTGGGGGTAATGAGGACGTGACCCCCTTCCCTCCTCCTCCTCTTCTGCCCAGAGGGGGGGTTCCCAGCTGCCTGATCGCCCCCTTCCCACCCTCTTCTCCGGCCCGGCTGCTACTGAGCCACAGCAGATGGCAGGCGCCAATAGGCCCCGGCCAGCAGCATACAGCAGCCAAGGTGGCAGCAGCAGGGCCGGCCATGGCAGAGGTTGAGGCTAGGGCGAGTGGCTGGAGCACCCCAGCCAGGAGGTGCCTCTCCTTCCAGTGCCTGGAGAAGTGGGTTGCAGCGAAGGGGGGTGGGCACGGCCATAACAGCAGCCTGGGCCAGGCTCAGCCTCCTGGCACTGGGACACTGCCGCTGCCCCATGCCCTATCCCTGTTCCCAGAGGAGCCCGTTGGGCAGCAGCGGTGCACAGCTTCCTTCGGCAGCACCTTCATGCCAAGCAGTCAGCCCTGGCAGAGCCTCTCGCCCTCCATGTGGCAACTGTCGTGGCACTTTGACAGTGAGGCCCGTGAGAGCCCTGATGCCGAGGCCTGATGCAGCCGCCCCAGCGAGCAGCCACTGGTGCCAGAACAGGAGGCAGCATTGGGCACCCCCGGCAGGTGAGCCACCTGCTGCTCTTCGACATCTGCCCAGGAGTCACCCACCGGCGGAGAAAGGGAGCCACCCCCGTGGGGCCAAGGACTGAGCGTGCGCCACCAGGCAGAGGAGGAGGAGGAGGACTGGGCGTGGGTGGTGAGGAGGAGGAGGCGGTGCTCAACGGGTTGCATATGACCGAGAACCTTCCTTTCAAATGAAGGGGGTAATGTTGGCGTATATAAATTTTTTAGGGGGTAAAAGGTAAAAAAGTTCCCTGACCCCTGCTTTAAGGAGTCAACTCATCTGATATTTAATTTTTTTCCTGCTACCTTCAACTTTTCCCAGCATTGCTGTTTTTTCTAGAGAAGCTTGAATTCTCAAGATGTGCCCAAAGTAAGCCAGCTTCATAATGTTTGCCTCCAGAGATAATTCAGGCTTGATATTCTCTAGGTCCCATTTGTTCATCTTTCTAGCAATCCAGGGTATCTGCAAAGCTCTCCTCCGGCACCATATTTCAAATGAATCAGTTTTCCCCCTGTCATCTTTCTTTCCTGTCCAGCTTTCACACCTGTACATAATGATCAAGAATACAAGAGTGGGGATGATCCTGGTCTTGGTCTCCAGTAACACATTCTTACACTTGATGATCTTTTCTAATTTTTTCATTACTGTCCTTCCGAACCTGTTTTCTTCTGATTTCATTTCTGCATTCACCGTTTGGATTGATGGTTGGATCTTTAACAACTCTTTTAGTTTCTAATCAATTATTAGTGACCTTATGACTTTGTACCTACACACCATTATTTCACCTTTGACAATAAAACTGACCTCCAGATCAACAGAACTGTGATGGGTATTTGCATGGCCCCACAATATCCAAACGTATTCACTGCTGACCTAGAACAACACTTTCTTAACTGTGGCACCCAAAACCTACTCCTCTTATTGAGGTATACTGATGACATGTTTTCTGATCTGGAGGAATGGGAAGGGATCCTTAGAGGAATTCCATCAGGATTTCAATAACTTTAATCCAAACATCAGACTCATCCTGGAACAATCTACAAAACAGGTACATTTTCTAAACACCACTGAAAAACTATAACATGGACATCTTAGCACCATGTTATACCGAAACCCCACCAATACACTTGTTTGCATGCTTCCAGCATCTATCCTGAACATACAACATCCATTGTTTACAGCTAAGCAGATACGATCACATCTGTTTGGACCTATGAGATGGAGACTCCAAACTCAAGGACCTACAAAATGCATTCCTTAAACTACAACAACTACCCAATATGATTAAGGAATAAATTAACAAAGCAAGACAGATGTCCAGAAGTAACATACTGCAGGAGAGACTCAGAAGAGAAAATGATCAAACACCACTAGTTGTCACTTTTAGTCCACAGCTGAGGCCACTCACACACATTATAAATTACTGTATCTCCAGTCCTGCTAGGGTGCGGCAGCAGCATTCTCTCCCTTGTGTTCCTGTTCTATTGTTTTTATTCAACCCTTTAAACTTTTATATATACATAGTTCTTGTTTTGTTTTTAACTACACTTAACTCCCTCTAAATAGTTTCTAAATAGCTTTTGAAGAAGCTTTTGAAGCCAAGCATTTAAGGAGCAAAAACAACCTTTGGAAATTCCTGCTGTTTTTATCAAAATGACAAGGAAAGTGGAAGAAGAAACAGCTGAACTGCTGACCTACCGCTCTGAATTGTGATACTCCTACCTATCCTCCCTCGAGTCAACAGAAGTTATCATCAGGCAAAGGTTGGTCGAGGCCACCAATGAAGGCAAGCCAGGCGAAGCAGGTTCCTCATTCCTACTAGAGCAGTGCGAAACATGGCCAGAGATTTAGTTTGCATTCTGGTGATCTCCCAAGCCTCTAGAAGCTAGTGGAAGCGTACTTGCCTTTACAACTTTGGGTGAAAGCCTTACAACCTTACGGCCTCATTGCTAAGCAAATACTCACAATCAAGCAGCAAATCCACAGTGCAAGATCATCTGGCTCGGTAAGCAAATGGAATTTCTGCTCCCCCCTCCCCTAACTTTTTAAAAGTATTGCTGAAAGTCTAAAGCAGTCTAAGACTAAGACAGATTTGCTTTATTTCTGGATGAATGAGGCCTAAGGCAGACACTTGACTGTGGAATCTTGAAGTACTCCAAAGTAACCGAGGGCCCGCCTGTTTTGCGCTTGCATCTGTACACTTACCTCTGGGTTTAAATGAAGTAGCGACAGGATAATCAAACTAAAAGACCTGTACCTGAGAGCATAATCCATTTCCCAACTTTTAAACCTGCTCCAGCAAGCTGCTAGAAGATCAAAGAAGCCAGACCTTCTGACTGAACAATCTCCCAGAGGACACATGATATTAGTACAATATTAGTACATTCCATAATATATGCTTGCCATTATATACGGTGGTGCCTCGCTTGACGAGGATAATTCGTTCCGTTCAAATCGGTGTTAAGCGAAATCCTCGGCAAGCGAAATGAAAAAGCCCATTGAAATGCATTAAAAACCAGTTCAGTGTGTTCCAATGGGCGAAATACCTCAGCGTCCAAAGAAGATCCTCCATAGAGCAGCCATTTTCCGGTGCCTGTAATGCGAGGAATCAGTCCTAAAGGAGAGTGGGGAGCCATTTTGCACAGCGGGTGGCCATTTTGAAACCTGATGATCAGCTGTTTTTGATCGTCATTAAGTGAAAAATTGTTTCCCGAAGCAGGGAACCGATCATCGTAAAACAGAAAAACCCTATTAAATCATCGTTTAGCGATCGCAATAGCAAAAAACTAATCATCAAGCGATTTCTTCAAATAATGAGGTAATCATCGAGCAAGGCACCACTGTATATTTGATTTTTTCTGCTTCTGGAACTGCTAATATTGTTAAGTTGAACCAATTCTGGAGATCTTCTTTCATTACTGGTAGGGTATATTTATATGCTTACTACAAGTAATATACATTTTTACTATATGTATATAATGGTCTAGTACAGGAATAACCAGCTCTTGTCAGATATTGGTTTTTACTAGACAGGGTTACAAGGAACATGGGGTTTCTCCATTACATGGAAACTTATTAGCAGAGAGGAAAGGGAGACAAAAGAAAATTACAAATTTATTCTCTCCCAAAGAGGAGGGCACTAAAAATACCAATGAAATTACAAAGATATCATCACCAGCCCCTAATCTTGACTGGTCAGTTGAGTATCGATCTTCAACAATAGAAACAAATAAGGAAGATTATGCTCCTGACCTGGTGACAGAGTTAGCAGTTGCAGAAAATGCTTTAAATTCCAGTAGGGTGGAAAATAAGGGGGAAAAGGAGGTAGACGATCTTATGTTAAAAGAAATAGAT